CGCGACTCGGGTATCGACGGCCTTGTCCTCCCCCCGCGAGGCGCACAGGCACAGGGCGCAAGCGCGCGCCCCGACCGCCCCGACCGACCGACCACCCACCCCCTTCATCCCTGTCACCGCCTTCTTTGTAACACCACCACAATTTGAACTTCGCGCCACAATTTGAAAAAAAAAAATGTCTAAATTTCTTCAGGGTTACATCTCAAAACGTTGCATCCTTACCCCCACAGCGAGCATGTCGATGCGACTAGCGGAATGCGTCAAAATGGTCAAAACCAAACGGGGATATATCGGTACCCCCCCCCCTTTTCTCACTGTAAGGAGGGAATGACCACGACCACATGGTAAACCCATACGCGAAGTCACGAACACGTGGAAGTGTGTGGTTTTGGTAAAAGAATTGGCGCTTGACAGTTTTCGGCCCATTCATTTGTCCCGGTACAGTGAAGAGAACTGCAAAAAAATTATTTCTGCAATACAGGTCAAAAATACTGTCAAGAGTCTTGTGCGATGGCGATGTGCACTTTCGTGCGTTGGTTGGCATCACGGTGTGCAAGCGGCAGTGAAAGGGCGCAATAATGCTCAAATGTCTACTCGCATACTGCGACCAGATTTTATCAACCGACAAAGGCATTTGAGAGTTTGAGGTTAAGGAACAAGCTAAGCTGCGGCCCCCCCTTTACCCTTCCCTTCCTCTTCCCATCCCTTCCCAACACTACCCCCACCACATCCTCCCCCACTTCTCCCTACTTGTTGTTTGCGGCCGAATGCGGTGCGGCTGGCGCACTGTGTTGGTTAGTGTTGTTGGGTTTCGATGCTGCATCTCCTTAGGTAAATATCGGTATTTGTTATATTTCACTGCTTCTGTGACCAGAACTATGGTTCGATTATCGCCAATTGACAGTTGAGCTGTTTCCGATAATGGCATAAGTCAATCGCCGGTACCTAGGCTTGCTTTGCTTGCATGTCCATATAGCCTGTCGTTCTCTCCCAGTTGGAGGATAGTTTTAGATTTGTGTACTGTTCATGCGTTAGCTCAACCTTCATCTGATTCTTTTACGACCGGTCTGTGAAATAATGATATGTTTGTATCCTGGCGTTTGTTATTATTGTTACACTCGAACCGCTCTGAGTCATGAAAGTCATTTTCTGAAAAGAGTTCTATCTATGCCACTTGTCTTTCAATAAAAGTACGTGTCTTTGTCGATTTGTACGCCACAGACTATTGATCTACGTACGTAGTAGGTTTAATTTAACTTCAGTATCCGAAGTTCGTCAAATGGTTTTGCTACCTCTAACCTATTAGTTGGCCACTTTGCCGCTTCGACAAATTTTCCTGCTAACCTTATGCAGCCGCTATTGTGCGGATATCGAATATTCACTTAATTTTTGTGAGGTTCTGCTATGTAAACGCAACCCTTTGTTATTACCTTATTGCACATCTGTGTTATTTTGTTAGGTTAATTTGTGCTCTTTTTGTCCACAGTTCCTGATCATGGATGCTTTAGTTGAAGATGTTCCTATTGTTGTGGCTGCACTCGACAGCCATAACGCCCGTCATCTAGTAAACGAAAATGTAGTGTTCGAGAGACTAGAGATTGCAAGTTTGACTACTTCACTTCGTGGCCAAGACCTAGTCAATCATGTTGTCCGTAAATTTTTAGTTGACTTTGGGATGGCACCACCTGAAGATCCAGGCCCTGCACCTCTTGGGGCCACTGGCAATCCAGCTGGTCCTACTTCGAGTAGAATAGGCCTTCAAGATAGTCCAGAAGTGTGTGTTCTCTCTCCAGCTACTGTTCAAGCTTTTGATGAGCCATATTCTCCGCTTCCACTGTGTTTGGATTCCACTCCAAACGTTGATGTAAGCAAAGAACTTAAAAATACTACGGATGTGTCTGAAGATTCTACATTAGGAGGCATGTCTAAAGTAGGACATGACACCTTGCTGGATACAACATTTAGTCCTATTGCAGAACCTGCTTCTGTTAATGGTCAGTCAAATGCTAACCCGGGTAGTACCTTAAAGAACACTGGAGCTATTCCAAAAACCAGTCATTTGGTTGCATCTAGTTATGAGAGCACAGGTGCTATTCCTAAACAATTTCAAGCCAAAGATACTGCCGTTGGTGGAAAGTTCAATAATGCAACGGTTTTCGATGAGACTTTTGAATTAATGGATACTTCTAGACCTAACCCAGTTGATAGTCCTATTAATAGTGCCATTGACATGAAGACAAAACAAAATGGGACAGCATCAGCTTCAGTAACTCTTGATATATCAGAGAGTGAAGATTATAATACCATCAGCTCTTCCCCTGGTAAAAGGGTTCGCAATGAACCTTTTAATGAGCGAAAAAAATTCAAAACAAGTCCAGTGGCAAAATCTATTCTCTTAAGCCCTGAAACTAAAAGGTCACCTAAGTCAGAAAAGGTTGCAGCTCATGTTGCTACCCTTAGTGACATGTTTCCAGAGGCAGATCCAGATTACTTATGGAACAGATGTGAGCAAGTCAGTGATGATGAAGCCTTCAACGCTGTAATAATTCAAATGTTATCTGACAGTGATTATCCCAGAGTACATGGTAATGCTTCATTTTTTTCAAAGTGGCCTTGATGACATTTATGAAATAATATTTAGAGGACTTATTTAACATTTGCCCTTTTTCAGGTCTTTCCCAAACCAGAATGAATCCAAGTACCAAAGCCTCTGCTGCTGCAGGATCAAGTAAAGATTTGAAAGATTCACCTATTCTGGCAGGAAATAGCACTAGTAGCACTATTAGCTTGCCTCGGTTTCTACCTAATACTCAAGAATCCACTGTGACCACCATTACTTCAAGTGCTTCATCTTCCAATTCAACTTCTACTCATTCGACCTCAAGTGCTCCAGCGGGGACAGCAGTAGCATCCACATCCAAAGCTGTGAAGCTTGAGGCTTCAGCGTCCACATCAAAAGTTGTAAAGCTTGAGGCTTCAGCATCCACATCAAAAGTTGTGAAGCTTGAGGCTTCAGCGTCCACATCAAAAGATGTGAAGCTTGAGGCTTCAGCCTCCACATCAAATGCTCCAGCTTCTGCGTCGAAACAGCCAACACAAGTGCAAAGTTTGAGCGAAGTCAAACGTAGACTCAGCTTGGAAAATGGCCATGAGGCTGCAGCAGTTATAAGAGAGCCTTGGCAAGACCAGCTTGATACCTTTGTCCAGATATTTCCTGATGCTGATCCTTCATTCTTAGAGGAGAAGGCACGCCAACTCATTGGGAAAGAGGATGAATTACGAGTTTTTGTTGCTGAAGCCCTAGAGAAGAAGGAGTACCCATCGCGTAAAGATTGGCAATGGCGGCAGGAGCAATTAGCTCTGCAAAAAAAGTATACAGAGGAATTCAGCATTCCAAACTTTCTTGAAATCATTCCAGATCCATTCACATATTTTACTGATCCTAATCGCAAGAACTTAACCGTCCAAGCCAACCAAGCTACTATGTTCCTGCGAAATAAGTAAGTACAAATCTAATTGGAATTTACAGACCATTATAATATGTACTTTCCTCTTCATTACTACTTATCTCTATATTTCCCCTTTTTTCAGGTATAGGAAATTGAGAGTTGCTGACATAACTTCAGTATTTAGTAGGAATAAGTACAATTTGACACTTACATGTCGCCAGCTTGACAGTTGGACTGGTCCACAGCTTAAATCTAGAAGAACTCAGGTGGATTATGATTTAACTAGGCATGATGGTGGGAAAGGCATTAATGTACCATTTCTGCAGGAGGTACGGAAAACTTTTCATGTTGACATTTTAAGTTTTATCTTTATCTTATCTCACTCTGTTTCATTATCACTTATCTATTTGTATTGTTATACAGATAGCTTTTATTGAAAATGAAAAAAAAATTGTCCAGTATTTAAGTGATAAAAAGTCAAAGAAAGAAGCTGCTTTTAAGGATGTAAGTTGAATATTCATTTACTTTGTTTTCAACTTTATTCTTTTTCTGTACTTGTTATTAAATTACATATATCTTGTTCACACCAGGCAAAGGACAAGGGTGAACTTCTCCAGTGTCAATGTTGTTATGATGACGAAGTGATGTTGGAAGATGTTCGCACGTGCAGTGAGGGGCACATATTTTGTGTCTCCTGTTTGCAAAAGTAATAAATTATCTTTTGTTATCTGTTTGCTTTTATTCTAAAGGTGGGTTGTGTGGTTTATTTCATCTATCTAAATTACAGGAGCTCTGAGCAGCGTATTGGAGATGGTCATACAACTTTCCCATGTCTTGCAGACTGCACATCTGAATTCAACCTACAAACCTTACAGGTAGGAATACCTGTGTCTTGTTAAAATTTCTGTGTGTGTTTGTGTTGAAACTAAATAAAACCTCTTCCAGGAAATTTTAAAACCCACTGTTTTCTCACGCTTGGTTCAAAGAAAACAAGTTGAAGAGGTGAAAGCAGCAGGCATTGAGGATCTAGTTCAGTGTCCTTTCTGTGATTTCTGTAACATTCCTCCCAAGGATGATAAAATCTTTAGGTGCCTTAATCCAGATTGCATGAAAGAATCCTGCAGGTTTGTCATATTTTGATCTATTTAGTTTAAAACATAGTAAGTATCAAAGTTATCCTAAACTGCTATCAGTGTTTTCCAATCCAACATGTTGATATTTGCAGATTATGCAAGGAGGAAAGTCATGTTCCTCTTCGTTGTGAAGAAGTAGAGAAAAAGTCTGAAGTTCAAATGAGAACCTATATAGAAAACCAAATGACTGAAGCTCTTGTCAGGTAAATTTGAATATGCACATCATACTATTGTAAATTCATAATTTTAGCAGTTAAAGGGGGCTTTCATCGCCCAAAATGCATTTTAGGTTTTCTATAAAATTAGTTTCTGAGCCAATGTAGGCCCAGAGATAGAATTGGGGGCATATATATTTTGCATCAGAAGAGAAGGCTTAACACACAAGTTAAATAAGAACGCCCTTAACTAAAGTTTTAAAATGCCCCAAGTGTGTGTTTCTTTTTTTGTATGACATCTCACTTTCAATGTTAAAACGCAGTGTTTTGTTAGAAAAGTTTGTTACATTAAGCTGGTTGCTAGCTTATTTCTTGAAGATCAGATTGATACTGGGTTTTAACTGAATTTTGAAAATTATGTGCATACTATATTTAAAGTAATTTTTTTTTCTTCCAAAAGCTGCTTGTTTAGTCAATTTTTAAATTTTGTTATTAGCAGTATTAACACTATGTTAATCTGTAGTCCTTAATGAACTGCACTAATTAGGCTATCAACCAACTTTTTATCACAAAATTTTCCAAAGAAATCGGGGGCTTTGGCTTGAGAAGTGAGATGGCATACCAAAATAGAAGTACACATTTGAGACATCTTTTAACTTTATTTTATGGCATTCTGATATTACAAATGTGCTGAGACAGCCCTTAACGTGGGAAAAAAAAGTCCATTTCTGTTTTGACTCAGAAAGTAATTTTACTGACCAATTTACCAAAAATGCTCTTTGAATGATAATGGTCGCTTTACTAACTGAAAGGGAAACTAATCCTGCCTTATTTATGAACAGAACTTGTTGGAAGTGTGCTAGAAAGTTTGTGAAGGAAGATGGCTGCAACAAAATGACCTGTCAGTGTGGAGCATTGATGTGTTACGTTTGCCGTCAACCTGTCAAGGATTATTCCCACTTTAATGGCCAAGGGGGAGATGCACATGAGAAGTAAGTTGTTTATTTAAAGTATTCTTATTTGCTGCATGCCTACAAAAGCTTTGCTTGATGAAGATCCTTAGCTGCTGATATACTTTCTCTCAATCTCTTTTCTCTTTTAACCTTTCCTGCTTGGTCTTGATTCAATCCACTGGCATCAGCAATATACATTTCCTTGTAGCTTGAATTGATTATCCTTTCCACCAGTTCCGGTTAACCTGCTAAGTGCAGTATTGACTTACAGTAATCATGGTCAATGGCCAGGGTTAGGTGATATGCGTTCATATTCTACTATTGTGCCATCCTAACTCACACCTGATATATTTCCTTTTAAAATCTTTTATGCAGAAGAGCTACCAATGAAGCTAGAAACTGATTGTCCAGAGGCAGTGTTAAAAATTAGGATTTTTTTGGTATTTATCATGTTAGTATTTCAAACATGGTAACTGCAGGAGTTGGACTTGCATGGCTTAAATTTGAAATATCATTCTTGAGTTTCATTCTCACGTGGCTTCATTTCACCAACTGAAATTTTAAATCATTTGTTGAATTGAATTCCTGATCAGATTTCTGCTGGTTTTAGGATTTTGGTTCCAACAGTGGTATACTGATCTAAATTGTGAATAGATGCCTCATCGGAAATAGGTATTAGTTTAAGCATACTTCTCACCATTAGACTAGACGTACTGTCCGAAAATAGGTAGTGTACCACACCACACCACACCATACTACACCATACTTAACACGTTCAGTGCGGCGTGACCCACACCGTGGGTCACAATAACATGGGATTGCCTACCCCCGCCGCACTCAACGTGTTAAAATTAAAAAAAAAAAATTATATATATGGTTTATTCCTGTTATGTTTGGTTGAAAAGAGAAAGCATTATGCAATATTTTAAAACATATACATATTATATTCTATGAAGAGTTTCTAAATATACAAGTTTGTTTTATTGTCAAGATAAATTAGGTGAGTTCTATGTCTACTTATTCTACTTATGTTTGGGTTCAGTGTGTGTCTGAAGTATTGATTGGTCATGAAATTTATTCTACTTCTATAGAATTACATGGTTTTAACAGGATAACAAAACTATTTTCATATGGAATCTTTTCATGGATTTGTTTTTAACACTCGGCAGATTTTAGGTTTGGTTTCAGTTAATCTGCCTACTGAACTGTATGACTAAAACATCATTGTAGCTGGGGCTTAGATGCATTCACTCAAACTTTTGTCCAATGGTTTATTCATTGTAGCCTTCTTTTGCATTTTAAAGAGCACCCCTTCCAGTGCTTTGATGAGTAGTTGCTGCATGTTTTCTAGTATATTTCTATTGTCTATTATTGTTGGGATAGGTATTGCAGAAATTTTTGTAGGGATTGTATATTTGGTTTGGTATGTCTATCTACTATCTACCTCACATTTGGCTTTCCTTTATTAGACTTTTGAAACAGTTTGGAAATTGAATTCTATTCAAATGTCGAGTGCTACATCTCAAAGTTTCAGTAATAGTCTTGAACTACTGGTATGTCCTTGTTTGACACCATTTTAGACCAAATATACTAAACCTTAGTCCTTTTTTTGGACCAGTATTTGCTGTATCTTAACAATAGACAAGGCTAATGACCTTAGACATGACTTACTGATGTTTTCTTGGGTGTAACACAAGATATTTGCTTGTAGGTGTCCATTGTACTCCGACCACCATGCACTTGAAGTTGCTGAAGTGAAGAAAGTAGCTGAACGAGCAAAGAAGGAAGTCTTGGCCAGGATACCAAATGGGTCTTTAAAACATGATCCTACTAAGATTCTTCCTGTTTATCAAGCACCTCCACAAAATTCTGATAGTGATGATAGTTTCTATGATAGTGACGATGATAATGATGGATATGATGGATTTCACTATAGAAGAAATCGACTTGAGGATTCTGATGACGATGATGGGTGGGGAAGAAATCGATTTCATTGGGATGATGACCACTTAGATGAGGAGGAAGCTGAAGAAGAAGAAGAAGAAGACGAAGATGGAGGTGATAATGACGATGGTGATGAAGTTGAAGATGAAGATGAAGATAATGATGGAAATGACCAAGAAGACAATAGTAATGATAATTCTGAAAATAATGGCAATTCTGGAGGAGAAACAGATCTTAGCAT